TGCAACATGAGAAAGTCAATAACATGTGCTCAGTACATAGATTTCCAGCAATATCAAATCGTGTTCGGGAATAAGCCAATGTAAAATGTACAAATAGATAAATAAAATTTGTGCATAAATGATGTCACCAATAGGTGAATAAAGTGCAAAAAAGTCCCAAATGTATTGCCCACGTGAGGATCCTAAGTGATCCCGATAAGCGTGCGTGGAGGGTTACTTCCAGTGGCAGGTGTTCCAATATAAATGAAATGCGCACTCACCAGAAGTGCGTGTATACACGCATTTGAGATATAACCTATCTCAATAGGTATAATTCGGGTCATCCACCTCCCAGATCAGGTCAGGCCAGGTCAGGGTACTCCCAGTCACATCTGCATGCAGCACTCGGGGATCCTTAGGGGCTCACCCATAGTGCGGTCTCTGCGAATGCCCCTCACAAAATAGGGACCAATAAAGGAGACCACATAGTGTGATACCATAGGGAACGTCTGCTAGATAGCTGGAGCAGGCAAGAGAGTGATGTTGATGCCGTCCTTTAACAATCATCAGCAATATGTCCTCGCACACAGAACGCAGTGTCCTTGCTGTGGGCACACAACATGCTGCTGTATTATAGAGAATAAAACCTTCCAAAGCACTCTCTCATCGTGTCTTAAGACCTTTTTTGACATGGCCACTATGAAATCAACTTTTCCACCGACGATGCTTAAAGCCCATATATTCACTATCCCAAAACTGGGCAAAGATCCTACGACCCCACAAAACTTGCCACCAGATGCATAATAAATGCCATCGTGCCAAATCTGCTCAAATATCCTCCCTATTATTATCCATCGATGCTGAGAAAGCATTCAACCACATTCATTGGTCCTACAAATTCCACACCCTGACTACATTTGGCTTTAGTGGACTCCTATATGATGCTATCCATGCTGTATACTTCAATCCTGCCATACACATGGAGTGATAGAAGGATTCCATACATTAGTAATACACTTTCACACAATATAGTAAAAATCCATTTTGAACCCCAAATAGATAAAATTTTCAACTAATTCTCTTGCCTAAAAAAATCTCAGTTTGTTATGGACAGCCAGACTGGCTTCATTCAAAATCTTGTCTATTCATTATTTAGGACACTTCTATTCATATTTCTATTCATTGCTACTCGCTTAAACCAACTTGGTTGTTGGTTCCGCCAAACCCCTGAACCATCTTGGGTAGACCTTAAATCCGCCCTTGCTCCTGGAAGAAACCTCTCTCTCTTCCTGATATTAGATGCTTGGAGATTCTGGCAGCTGAAAATTTTCCACCTACTATTCACAGTTCCCTGCTAGCTTGGAGAGCACTACTTAATAATTCCCAAGTCAGCACGCATGTCTCATCATTACCATTCCTGATCACCCTTGTCGAGTACATAATCCCATTCCTCACAATTCAAACATGAGTAGTGATACATAACATTTTAGACCTTTACACTCACAACAATCTTAAAAGTTGAGATTCACTTAAAGAATTTGGTCTGTCAAATGCAGAAAGGTACCGGTACCGGAAAATATCCCACGCCCTCCTTTCTTTTCCCTCAAAGAACAATTGGCCCCCATGGTTTGGAAAGCATTGTCATCTGACAGCTACCCTCCAAAACAACATCCTTCTTTTATAACACTCTAAAGGGATAAACTAACATTTATTAAGAACCCCACTATGCTCCATTGGGAAACTGATCTGTCTATGCATTTCTCACTAGCACAATGGGAAACTGCTTTTCTGTGTTTGTATAGAGCTTCTAGCTGTATAGATCATTGGGAACTTTCCCTAAAAGTACCCTTGCAATGGTATTACACGCAAATGTCCAAATGTCTAAATTTTCCCCTACCCATTCTCTTTGTTTGAAAAATTGGCTTTCTTCACACATTACCACACATATTATGGTACTGTAAAAACATTTGCAGTTTCTGAAAAAATCTTTTATTTCATAAATTACTGGTGTACCTAACCCAGGACTAGCACTAATACTTTTTTGGATGGAATCTTTACCCCTGCATTTCCATACAGTTGTTTCACACTTACTACTTGCAACTAGGTCAGTAATTACTAGATACTGGAAAAAGTAGCATGCACCTAATTCCTCTGAACCTTTAGAGATAATACAAACTTCATGCATGAACAACTCTTGGCTATAAGAAAAGATACATTTTGTATATTCCTTAACCGCTTCCCGACCGACAGTACGGGTGTGCAAAATCACGTGTATATACTGGTGAAACTCAAAAAATTAGAATATAGTGCAAAAATTCATTTATTTCAGTAATGCAACTTAAAAGGTGAAACTAATATATGAGATAGACTCATTACATGCAAAGCAAGATAGTTCAAGCCGTGATTTGTCATCATTGTGATGATTATGGCTTACAGCTCATAAAAACCTCAAATCCACAATCTCATAAAATGAGAATATTGTGAAAAGGTGCAATATTCTAGGCTCAAAGTGTCCCACTCTAATCAGCTAATTAAGCCATAACACCTGCAAAGGGTTCCTGAGCCTTTAAATGGTCTTTCAGTCTGGTTCAGTAGGAATCACAATCATGGGAAAGACTGCTGACCTGACAGTTGTGCAGAAAACCATCATTGACACCCTCCATAAGGAGGGAAAGCCTCAAAAGGTAATTGCAAAAGAAGTTTGATGTTCCCAAAGTGCTGTATCAAAGCACATTAATAGAAAGTTATGTGGAAGGGAAAAGTGTGGAAGAAAAAGGTGCACAAGCAGCAGGTATGACCTCAGCCTGGAGAGGATTGTCAAGAAAGGGCCATTCAAAAGGGTTGGGGACTTTCACAAGGAGTGGACTGAGGCTGGAGTCAGTGCATCAAGAGCCACCACACACAGACGGATCCTGGACATGGACTTCAAATGTCGTATTCCTCTTGTCAAGCCACTCCTGAACAACAAACAACGTCAGAAGCGTCTTACCTGGGCTAAAGAAAAACAGACCTGTTTGTTGCTCAGTGGTCCAAAGTCTTCTTTTCTGATGAGAGCAACTTTTGCCTCTCATTTGGAAACCAAGGACCCAGAGTATGGAGGAAGAATGGAGAGGCACACACTGCAAGATGCTTGAAGTCCAGTGTGAAGTTTCCACAGTCTGTGTTGATTTGGGGAGCCATGTCATCTGCTGGTGTTGGTCCACTGTGCTTCATTATGTCCAGGGTCAACGCAGCTGTCTACCAGGAGATTTTGGAGCACTTCATGCTTCCTTCTGCAGACAAGCTTTAAGGGGATGCTGACTTCATTTTCCAGCAGGACTTGGCACCTGCCCACACTGCCAAAAGCACCAAAACCTGGTTCAATGACCGTGGGATTACTGTGCTCGATTGGCCAGCAAACTCGCCTGACCTGAACCCCATAGAGAATCTATGGGGCATTGCCAAGAGAAAGATGAGAGACATGAGACCGAACAATGCAGAAGAGCTGAAGGCCGCTATTGAAGCATCCTGGTCTTCCATAACACCTCAGCAGTGCCACAGGCTGATAGCTTCCATGCCACGCCGCATTGAGGCAGTAATTGCTGCAAAAGGGGCCCAAACCAAGTACTGAGTACATATGCATGCTTATACTTTTCAGCGGTCCGATATTGTTCTGTGTACAATCCTTGTTTTATTGATTGCATGGAATATTCTCATTTTCTGAGATTGTGGATTTGGGGTTTTCATGAGCTATAAGTCATAATCATCACAATGATGACAAATCACGGCTTGAACTATCTTGCTTTGCATGTAATGAGTCTATCTCATATATTAGTTTCACCTTTTAAGTTGCATTACTGAAATAAATTAACTTTTGCACGATATTCAAATTTTTCGTGATCGTGATCTTGCGTTTCTGGGTAGGGGGCACGCACCCTACCCGCGCTGTCATTTACGGGTGCGGCTGTCAATCACTGGTTCCCAGCCAGTAATTACTCGCCGGTGCCTGATGATTTCCGACGATCATCAACGGGGCGAAAGACTGTTTTGTGTTTACTAACAGTCCTCCTCCCTGTCGGCTTGGGTACACTGCTTTGGATGGCTGTCCATTCAGAGCAGTGTGCTTACAGTGAAGCACCAACACACAGCCCCCTAGTAAAATACTCCCTGCACATAGTTAACCCTTTTATCGCCCCTCATGTTAACCCCTTCCTGCCCAGTGCCATTAGTACAGTGTCAGTGCTTTTTTTATTTTTTATTTTTTTTTTTTTTTTAGCACTGATCACTGTACTGGTGTCACTGGGGATGTCAGTGACCCCATGTCAGTTCCCCCCAGTGTCAGAATGTCCGCCGTAGTCCCGCCATAAGTCGCTGATCGCTGCCATAAGTCGCTGATCGCCGCTATTATTAGTATAAAAAAAATCCAATATCTATACCGTGATTTTTACATTTTTTTTTACTGGACATGTTTTATAACAAAAAGTCCAAAATATGTTTTGTTTTCTCAAAATTGTCGGTTTTTTTTTTTTTTATAGCACAAAAAATAAGAAATGCACAGGTGATCAAATATATATATACGTGATTCACGCTCCCGCGGTTTTCACGCCCCTCCCAGATAGCATCAGATTGCCCGTCAGTACAATCACATTTAACCCCTTGATTGCCAGGAACACGCTCATACACAATAAACCCCCATTGCTAGTATAGTGTCTGAACGGATCAATATCTTTGATCAGATCAGCACTATACCAGCGTTCACATTAGTATGGTGTTCCCAAAAACGCAGCTTTAGCAGGATCAGCCCTGACACCTGCCAGCACCTGTATTTAGCCCCTAATCTTACCCCCCCTTTCTTCCCCAGCAAGTGCAGTGTCAGTAGGTCACTGCCACTTGACACATTGCACACAAAACCGCAGTGTTGGCAGAATCGGGCCTGATCCCTGCTAGCACTTGCCGGTAAATTTTGATGACTCTCATATGCAGCAGAGTGCCAGTACTAGTGCCGCTCTACCTTTTGGTGAACTGGCGAGCACCGGCAGCCTAATACATCCTGGTCTTTCACATACCAGCACTGCAGTATGACTTGGTGAAGTGGCGAGTCCAATAAGTGTAGTATAAGCTGGTGCGGTGGCGAGCACAAGTATTGTCCTGCAACCACCAAGAATTCGCACACAGGCCTGTAGAGCTCCTAGTATCCTTCCGAATGTGCTTGCAGGACAATACTTGCAAATCCCGATTGGCAGCCCACAAATTCTGCAGCACCCGTACTCCCCCACCCCCCCATTCACTGCCCAACCCGAAGTTCAGGTGGAAACAGCAAATTTAACTACCCTTGATTTTTTTGGAGCTGTTTTTCACGGAAGTATACATTGATTGTGGATCAAAGCAATTTATATGCACAACAATTTATCGCCGCCAACCCAAATACAAACCTTGCCAGACCATTCACATGGAAATCCAATATGGTTTCCAAATTTACATTTTTTTGGGGCCTAACCCTCAACATGGGCATTACTAAAAAAAAATGAATTGCGGTTGTATTGGTCCACAGACCCCATTCATCTTATGCCGTGTTCTCTGCTGCCATTGCCAGGCATAGATATGAGAGTATAATGTGTTTTATGCATTTCAGCGACAATACACTCTGTCATCCTCAGGGTGACCCTGAATTTGACCGGCTCCACAAAATGCAGCCCCTCATAAATCATTTTAACCAAAAATTTGCAGATGTCTATACTCCCCAGCAAAACATTTGCGTTGACAAGTCCCTCATTAATTTTTCTGGCCGTCTTCTATTCAAACAATTTCTCCCCAACAAGCGTACTAGATATGGGGTCAAGATGTATAAGACCTGTGAGAGGGCAACAGGCTATACATATAAGTTTTGGATTTACGCGGGAAAAAGCCCCTCGTGGAGCCCCCCTGGATGCCCAGAATACATAGGCAAGATAGTTTGGGACTTGGTGTCATCCTTTTTCCATATGGGGTACCACTTATACCAGGACAATTTTTATTCAAGTGTGCCACTATTTAGACATTTGTACAATCTTGGAATTAGCGCATGTGGCACCGTGTGACCTAATGTGTGCCCACCATTAGAAGTGGTGGATGCAGGGTGGTATATTCTGATGGTAGGCATACCACCGCATACAAAAAAAAAATAACAAAGCATATATACCCAACAAGGACCAGCGACATACTGGTACATCACTGTACTTTGCTTATACCAGGATGATACCTACAGCTGCAGGCATCATCCTGATATTGTTTTTTTCATCTGGCGATGGGCTTTCATGTAAAAGCAATCCTAGTGGCTAATTAGCTGCAAGATTGCTTTTACAAGCAGTGGGAGATGATGCCCCCCCGCTGCCTTCCACAGCCTTCTTGGGCAGTCCCGTGCCATCGGGGGAACCTGAGAATGCAGCCGGTGTTTCTGCTAGCTAAGCATAGAGCTGATTGGAGACCAGAATGGTGCCAATCATCTCTATAGTCTAAGAAATCGGTAGCTACGAGCATTTCATCACTTCAGTTTTGCAGGATATAAACAGCGTTATTTGTAAATTGGGAAAGCATCTATTCACAACGATCTTGGTTTGATTGGATAATGTAAGGGCAGAGTAGAGATCTAGAGTCTGATAGACCCCAGATTTCTCAAAAAGGAATATATGACAATGCCCATTGAAGTTATAGGGATTATTTGCATTCCCTGTTATAGTTTACAGTTATACATTAAAAGTGAAAAATCAACATAACTTAAAAAAATTAAAAAAAGCACCCTCGTCCCCCCACCTGTGTGCACGAGTGTTGACCCTGTGCCGTTATGTAAACAGCGGTTGCACCATCCATGTGCAGTATCACATGAACATCAGATCAAGGGCAGTAATTCTAACATTAGACCTAAATCTAAAATGGTAGCTTGTAAAGGCTTTTAAAACAATGCCTATGGATATTAAAAACATATGCAGTTTGTCGCCATTGCACGGGGCATGCACAGTTTTAAAGCATGTCATGTTTGGTATCTTTTTACTCGGCATACCATCATCTTTTATAATTTACCAAATAATTGGCCAATATATTGTGCTTTTGTGCATTAAAAGTAAAAAAATCGCTGTGCGAGTACTATGTGACATAAAAAATTGCATCACCCACCATTTTATTCAGTGGTTTATAAAAATATATAATGGCTTGGTCTTCAGGTGGTTAGAAGAGTGTGTGGCATAAACTTCTAATGCTGGGCATAAAATGCCCCCACCCCCAAAAACAACCCCTTTTTGGAAAGTAGACACCCCAAACTATTTGCTGAGAGGCATGTTGAAATAATGGAAGAATTTATTTTTTTTACAAATTTTTTGAAAATGACAAAAGAAATACATTCTGCTACTTCTCCCGAGTATGGGAGTACGGGGGTACTACATGTGAGAGACATTTTGGCAGTCTAGCCAAGTACAGGACCCCAAAATCCAATAAGAACCTTCAGGCTTTTAACCACATGCCGCCCAGCCACTGCAGAAATACGGCGGCAGGGTGGAACGGGCAGGCAAAACCACGTTTTAAAACGTGTGTTTTGTAAACAGGTATGGGGCGTGCACGAGGCGCGACGCCGCCCTACCTGTCCCGCCGATCACAGCCGCGGATGTCAGTCGCCGGGTCACAGCCGATCGTTACCGGCTATGCCCCGGCGATCAGCGGCAATCGCTGACAGAGAGCACAGCTGCAGTAGCTGTGCTGTCTGTCAGTTCCCTGACAGCTCCAGGACAAGCTGATCGGGACAGAAGAGTTTCTCTCTCCCGATCAGCCGTGTCCCCTGCAGTACACACCCCGCCCCCTAGTTAAACACTCCCCCCTCACACAGTTAACCCTTCCCTGAAAAATAAACTTAACCCCTTCCTCCCCTGTATTGGTGTCACTGGGGATGTCAGTGACCCCAAGTCAGTACCCCCCAATGTCAGAATGTCCGCCGCAGTCCCGCCATAAGTCACTGATCGCCGCCATAAGTCGCTGATCGCCGCCATTATTAGTATAAAAAAAACTAAAAATCCCAGTATCTTTCCCGCCATTTGTAAACGCTATAACTTTCACGTAAACCAATTAATTTACACGTATTGGGTTTTTTTTTTTCTAGCAAAGACGTCGCAGAATGCATTTTGGCAGAAATTTATGACTAAATTTGATTTTTAATTTTTTTTTTTACTGGACATGTTTTATAGCAAAAAGTCCAAAATATTGTTTTTTTCCTCAAAATTGTCAGCCTTTTTTTTTATAGCGCATATAATAAAAACTGTACAGGCGATCAAATACCACCAAAAGAAAGCTCAATTTGTGGGAAAAAAAGGATGTAAATTTCATTTATGTACCGTATTGCATGACCCGCGCAATTGTCCGTTAAACTAGCGCAGCGCTGTATAGCAAACGGCGTAAATTGCAGTATCTATACCATAGTTTGTAGACGCTATAACTTTCACAAAAAGCAATCAATATACACTTATTGGGATTTTTTTTACCAAAAACATGGAGCAGAATACATTTTGGCCTAAATTTATAACCAACTTTGAGTTTACTATATATTTTTTATAGCTGAAAGTAAAAAATATTTTGTCTTCAAAATTTTTGGCCTTTTTTTGTTTATAGCGTGAAAACTAAAAAGCGCACAGGTGATCAAATACCACCGAAAGAAAGCTCTATTTGTGTGAAAAAAAGGACGTAAATTTCGTTTGGGTGCAGCATTGCATGACCGCGCAATTATCAGTTGAATTAGTGCACCGCCGAGTAGCAAAAAGAGGCCTGGTCATTAAGGGGGGTAAATCCTCAGGAGGGCAAGTGGTTAATCAGCCCAGCAACAAGTTGCTAAAAACAAAAAAAAAGATTTTAAAAATACTAGAAAAATATGCATGCAAAAACACAAAATGCACTGCAAAACGCACAAAAATGCAAACTGCATTGCTCTGAAACAGGCCTGAAACGCACCGAAAAGGCATCAAAAACACACGTGTTGCATTTTTGATGTGTTTTGCAATTTTTAATCTGCCAAGTAACAAGTTGGAAATTTTTTTTTTTAAAAAGCGTCAAAATGCGTGTGCAAAACGAACAAAACACATACTGCATTGGTGTAAAAACAGGCCTGAAATATATTGAAAATTCATATGTTGCGCTTTTTTTATGCATTTTGTGTTTTTAATCTGCCCAGCAACAAGTTCCTAGGATTTAAAACATGCTTCAAAAACACAAAGCGCACTGCAAAACTAACAAAACGCAAACTGCATTGGTGTGAAACAGGCCTGAATGCCTTGAAAACGCATCAAATTGCATGTTTTACATTTTTAATCTGCCAAGCAACAAATTGGCCAAATAAAAAAAAGCGTCGACCGCATGTGCAAAAAAACGCAAAATGCTCTACAAAAGGAACAAAACACAAACTGCATGGTGTGAAACAGGCCTGAAATACATGGAAAACGCATCACAAACGCTCATGTTGCATTTTTATGCATTTTGTGTTTTATACTCTAATATCCTTTATTGCAGTTTCTCCAGCAGATATAATAACATATCACAGACAGGAGACAATGGCGGCTCTTTGTTGTACAGATGATGAGGGTGAAGGGGAACAATTCCATCGTTTCCCAGGATAACAATGTATACAGTTACTGACATGAACGTGTGATAATGGAATCGGCTTCAATCAATTGTCAGACAACTAAGACCCGTAGGGGATGAGGGGAGGAGAAGGGTGAGGGGAGGAGAAGGGTACGGGGAGGAGGAGGGGAGGAGGAGGGTACGGGGAGGAGGGGAGGAAGAGGAGGAGGGGAGGAGAAATGACAACAGGAAGAACTGTCAGAGCCAGAGGGGAGAACAACAACAGCATACCGGTCAGGATAATATTGTATACTCCGGAGAGGAGAAGTCATCAAAATGTAACTTTACAATTGGGGGTAAGTGACCACTGACACCATGAGGAAGCACATTTTGGGTGTGATAAGTTGGCAGATCTCTTCCATGTCACATTGGTATTTCTATAATGAATTATCAGTCATTGGGGGGGGGTCAGCGATTTCCATGGTCTGGTGATATTATTTTGGCTTCTAATAGAATATGGAGAACAATCCAGCGGGGCCCAGAAGGAACGTTGTCTAATATGGAGGAAAGCTCGGGCCGGTCTGGGCGCACTGTGCAGCCCATTACTTCCGACATTCATTTACAAATACGATTCCAGAATGATTGCAGGAATTTGTAGGGCCGTAGTACATGTAGTGGGGGCCTCATTCTCTGCATTGACACCAGCACTGAGGGGAATGGGGAGGAGAGATTTCTGAAAGTCTGATTGGGGTTCAGTACCATTGATGGAGGATTTTTAGGTCGGATTCCCAATGTGTGGCACATCGGGAGGATTTATAGGTGAGAGGACAGGTTTTACCTCCATGTGTGATCTGAGAAGGATCGGGAGAGAATCCATTCCCAGTTGTGAAGGGATGATGTCCTCATGGGGAGTTCTAATCTAGTGAGAAAGGTGTAGAAGATGGAGATCCCCTTTCCG